AATTTAGGTTCAATCTATGTTTTACTTGAACGACGAAAATCACAACTTTTTATATAATTAGAGGTATTCTACAATAATGAAAAAATAATGGGTAAAATGACTAAAATATATAAGTAAGATATTAAAAAGACATTTTTCTCTTAATTATTATCATTATATCCATTATCACAATGCAAGAACACCATGGGCCATGGAAATGAACTCATTTTCCATTCTTACCACATGCCCATTTTTTAAATATTAACATTTTACACCCTCAAAGTATATATCAAAATATAATTAGACCGTCATAATAAAAAACATTAAATTAAATTTAACCTTTAAACTTATTAAAATATATAATTAACCAATTTAACCTATACTAACATGTTATCCCCAAGTCAATTGCCACGTGGATGCCACATAAAATGCTACATAAATTTATATTTTTAAAATTTATTTTTAAAAAAATCAAGATAATTATGTTTATAAAAATAAATAAAATAGATTAGCATGGCTTCTTCGTCCATGTCATAGAAGCTTGGCATGGCTTCTGCGCCATGACCAAAACAACATCATTTTGTATCTGTTTTTTGTTAGAAATTTTGGTTCCCATTTTTGTCGTTAACTTCTAAAAAAATCTCATGTTTCGAATGTACATAATTGTATAGTAGAATACACATAAACTCATAACATAATACACATAATCTAACATAATACATGATATACATAAACTCTTAACATAATACACATAAAAACGACGTCGTTTAGGGCAGGGTGCACGGTATAACGATAGACCAAATGCTACTACTTAGAACGGCCCAAGAATCCACATATGCATACAAATAAGGGAAATCTCTATTTTAGTCCCTTAATTATATCTCAATTGTCAATATAGTTCTTAGTTTTCAATTTCAACTAATTTGATTATCGAATAGTTTAAAATTTCTTAATTAAACCCTTTTAGGGGGGCGAATTTTTAAAAATGTGGAAATCCTCATTTTGGCCCCTGTAAGGGTTTAATTGACGAAATTTTAAACAATTCGATGATCAGATTGGTTGAAATTAAAAATTAAGGACTACATTGACAATTGAGGGGCCAAAATAGTAATTAATTCCAAAATTAAAAACAGTTATGGAAATTTCTATTTTGAGCAAATAGCCATTTACGCGCTCAGGTCCATCCACATAATGACATAAGCATAAAAAATTCATGCTCTACCCGCTTGTATGTCAAATGAATAAGGGTCAAATAGGTCATCAAACTGCACACGATAATGCAATTAGGCCACTGAACCTAAAAAACCAACAACTAGGTCCCTAAACTAACCAAATTCATGCAATTCTTCCAATTTGCAGGTTTCCAACAGGTCATCTTAAAATAAATTTTAAAAAATAATTATTTAAAATTAATTTTTAAAAAAACAAAAAAAAAAAAAAAAACTTCCGACCGGAGACAAAGAAACCGTCTCCGGCTGGTTTCTTCGTCTCCATGGCCGGATAGGAAGAGTTTCTTCGTCTCCATGGACGGAGACGAAGAAATTCTTTGTCTCCGGCTATGGAGACGAAGAAACCGGCCGGAAGATCTGTTTTTTTTTTTTTTTTAATTTCAATTTTAAATAATTATTTGTAAAATTTATTTTTTAAAAAATAATTTAATTTGGGATGACCTGTTGGAAACCTGCAAATTGGAAGAATTGCATGAATTTGGTTAGTTTAGGGACCTAATTGTGGGTTTTTTAGGTTCAGTGGCCTAATTGCATTATCGTGTGCAGTTCGATGGCCTATTTGAATCTTCTAGGATAAGATAATGTATTTTATAAGTTAGAGTAATATACTTTATGTGTTAAAATAATGTATTTTATGTGTTAGAATGTAATTTTTGGAGTAAGATAATGTACTTTATGTGTTAGAATAATATATTTTACGAGTTAAAATAATGCACTTTATAGCTTTGTGGACCACACACGGTCAACTCGATAATGATTGCCTATGTTAAGGCTATGCCAATGACGGCAAATTATGATGTGAGCACGTGCCCACCATGCACATGGTGCGCACGAATCTGTATCCATAATTTCTATACTATAGATCCATAATTTCTAGAATCTCGGTGAACTAAAATTTATACTTTAGATTCCAATTGTTGAACCATGTTTTCACAAATCTATGCAATATAGAAATTATGGATCTACTGTATTTAAATTATGGATCCTACGATTTTAGAAATTATGAATCTAAAGTTTAAATTTTAGCTCACCGGGAGTCTAGAAATTATGGATCTACAGTATAGAAATTATGGATATAGTCATATAGATTCGTGCACACCATGCATGGTGAGCACGTGTTCACAGCAAAACGACAACAGTGCCGTTAGGCACTGTTATCTTCTTCTTTTTTTTATTTATTTTTATTTTTTATTTTTTTTATTTTAAATTTCAGACCGCTTCGTTATAGGAGTATATGTTCATAATTTTATTACTATATGTTCATAATTGTAAGTTAATAATGTCAAAGCTCTATGTTCATAATTCCATAACTGTACATTCATACTTCCGTAACTGTACATTCATAATTTCGTAACTGTACATTCATAATTCAATAACTGTAACTTCATAATTTTCGAAGCTCTATGTTCACAATTTTAGAGCTCTATGTTCATAATTTTATCACTATATGTTCATATTGTAAGTTCATAATGTCAGAGCTCTGTGTTCATAATTTCATAACTGTACATTCATAATTGCATAACTGTACATTCATAATTGCATAACTGTACATTCATAATTCAGTAACTGTATATTCATAATTCAATAACTGTAAAATCATAATTTTCAAAGCTCGATGTTCACAATTTTAGAGATCTATGTTCATAATTTTATCACTATATGTTCATAATTGTAAGTTCATAATGTCAGAGCTCTGTGTTCATAATTTTATAACTTACATTCATAATTCCATAACTGTACATTCATAATTGCATAACTGTACATTCATAATTCCGTAACTGTACATTCATAATTCAATAATTGTAAAATCATAATTTTCAAAGCTCGATGTTCACAATTTTAGAGCTCTATGTTCATAATTTTATCACTATATGTTCATAATTGTAAGTTCATAATGTCAGAGCTCTGTGTTCATAATTTTATAACTTACATTCATAATTCCATAACTGTACATTCATAATTGCATAACTGTACATTCATAATTCCGTAACTGTACATTCATAATTCAATAACTGTAAAATCATAATTTTCAAAGCTCGATGTTCACAATTTTAGAGCTCTATGTTCATAATTTTATCACTATATGTTCATAATTGTAAGTTCATAATGTCAGAGCTCTGTGTTCATAATTTTATAACTTACATTCATAATTCCATAACTGTACATTCATAATTGCATAACTGTACATTCATAATTCCGTAACTGTACATTCATAATTCAATAACTGTAAAATCATAATTTTCAAAGCTCGATGTTCACAATTTTAGAGCTCTATGTTCATAATTTTATCACTATATGTTCATAATTGTAAGTTCATAATGTCAGAGCTCTGTGTTCATAATTTTATAACTTACATTCATAATTCCATAACTGAACATCCATAATTCCATAACTGTACATTCATAATGGCACAAACGAATAACGTCGTTAACGGCGAGACAAAATCAATTTTTTTTTTTTAAACTAAAATGACGCGTTTTTCCTGAAAATGACGTCGTTTTGGACTCGTGTCCACAATACATTGTGGACACGAGTCCACTGCATAATTTGCGGCAAAACGATTGGCCAATGACTATATCAATATCCAATAGTTATGATGTGCAACCGAATGCACCATGCGCATGGTGCATAGAATGCAAAACGACGTCGTTTTGACTAAAAACGCGCGTCCCACTTAAAAAAAAAAAATTCATGTTCGATTCTCGGCAATAGCATTATTGTGGATATATAGTTATGAATTTCTGGATATATAGTTATGAATTTATGGATATATAGTTATGAATTTATGGATATTTAGTTCATTCATTGTGGATATTTAGTTCATTCATTGTAGATATTTACTTCATTCATTCACTGTGGATATATAGTTATGAATTTATGGATATTTAGTTCATTCATTGTGGATATTTAGTTCATTCATTGTAGATATTTACTTCATTCATTCACTGTGGATATTTAGTTCATTCATTGTGGATTTTTTTACTTCATTCATTCACTGTGGATATATAGTTATGAATTTGTGGATATATAGTTATGAATTTATGGATATATAGTTATGAATTTATGGATATATAAAAATGCTATTGCCGGGAATCGAACCTGATTCTTCTTTAAGTGGGACGCGCGTTTTTTAACCAAAACGACGTCGTTTTGCATCGAATGCACCATGCGCATGGTGCATTCGGTTGCACAGCATAATTTGCGATCAATATCACCATTACAATTAAAACACTAAAGCCCAATAGCATAAACCCGATTAGGAATAAACAATATCAATTATAGTAGCCTATTAGGCTGTCCTTAGGTTGTCCCCAACCCAGCAATTATCTCCTATTTCTAAATGATGATGTGGCATGTTTTTAGCAATTTTCATTTATTTTAATATGCCATGTCACTTAGCAAGCTTGCATCTGCAGCAAGCTTGTTGTTGGCAGCTTTTGCTGCCTTTTGCAGCAAAAGCTGCCGACGTGACACCTTTTTTTTTTTCGGAACTTTTGGTTTTGATTTTTTTTTTTGTTACTTTTATATACATATATTTTTGTTTTTATTTTTTTGATTTTGTTTTTGTTTTTTTTGTTTGGTTATTTCTTTTAAATATATATTATATATATATATATATATATATATATATATATATATATAGTTTTGGTTAATGATTTTTATTTTGTTATTAATTAATTAATATAAATGTTTAATATTATTTAATTTATTTTAATGAAATAATATATTAAAAAAGTACATTAATTTTCATTGATTTCTAAATACAATGCATACAAATTAATTTCTTCATACTTAGTCATCTAATAACTTCTTCATTTGCTTATCGTACAACTGTTTTTGCATTTCATTCATAGTTGATGTATCTAGTTGCATAAGCTCAATGAGAAACCTATTTTTATCCTTTTGTTGTTGTTGTTGCAACCTCTCTTCTTGTCGCTTCATATATTGTTTCATAAGATTTACTTTTTCCATCTCCACGGTCATTTGCTTTTCAACTTGCTCGCCATAACTTTCTGATACCGTTGACTGTGTTGGTGATTGCTTTCTTTTTCCTTTCGCCTTAGAAGCGTCCCTTCCCAAGGGACGAGGGCTAGGCACTCCCACACACGGTGTCTCACTTGATTGTGAAAATGTATTTGATGATGATGATGTGAATTTACCTGACTCCGTATTTTTTGTTCGCTTTGGACCCCCGGTCAAGTGAACATCAATGCCCCTCCCAGCTTGGCTACACCATTTCTCTTCATTCCTTAGCACTTCCCAAGCATGCAAAAATATAAAATTTTCTTTCTCAATCTCGTTATATAATTGCATGGCCCTATTTCTTTTATCAGCTTCATTTAAGCCACTTTCCCTCCGATTCAAAATTTGTTCATAATAGTCGACGAATTTTGAAACTGAATGATTTATCTTCCCCCAACGATTCAGCAATGCCTGTTTGTTTCTTCTTGCTTGCTCAGGTTGTCTTCGGTACTGATTGTAAAATTCTACAATTCGATTCCAAAAGCTATTACCACTTTGATCATTTCCAACTGCACTATCTTTACTAATGTTGAGCCATGCGCTACATAACAACATGTCATCCTTATTTGTCCATCGACTTTTCAATATGCTTGCGGGTCGTGTTTCTTGAGGTGTTGGCATTTCTTGAGTGGAGTACTCAGGAAATTCTGGCAAAGGTATATTTGTTGCAGGAGTAGGATGAGTAAACCCAGTGGGGGTAGACATTGGAGTAAAAATGGAATATGATGGATGATAGGGTGGTGGAACACCTTGATACAAACTAGGTAATTGTTGATAATTGACATTGCTCATTCCGTGAAGAAAGGAAGATGGATAGATTGGGGGTTGTGGGCTTTGATTGGCTTCATTAGTATCATTATGTGAAAGTAGTGTGAACTTAAAAAATGGATTGGGTGGAGGATGTGAAGGATCCATTTGAAGGTGTTACAATATTTCGGAATAGAAGAAGGCAAAGGATGGATGAAGTGATATGCATGGCAAGAATGATCCATTATTTATAGGTAGGATGATTCAAAAATTTCTTACAAAAAAAATGATATTCTCTCCCCAAAATTTCCTACAAAAAATGATGATATTCCAAACCAAAATGTCATATTCAAAATGATGATATTCTCTTACAAAAAATGATGATATTCCTTACTTAAATGTCATATGCAAAATGATGATATTCTCTTACAAAAAATGATGATATTCCTTACTTAAATGTCATATGCAAAATGATGATATTCCCTATCCAAATTTTCTTTAACAAATGATGATATTCCCTACCAAAATGTCATATTCAAAATGATGACACACACACATTTGTAATAAATTTGGATAGGGAATATAATCATTTTTTGTAAGAAATTTGTGTAGAGAATATAATCATTTTTTGTAAGAAATTTGTGTAGAGAATATAATCATTTTGTGTAAGAAATTTGTGTAAAGAATATAATCATTTTTTGAATGAAATTTGTGTAGAGAATATATAAATATATGTGTGTCTACAAAATATATATATATATATTTATTGTTACTTGAATTGATTCTATTACTCATTTTACTAAATCTCATTATTCTTTCTTCTTCTCCCAATCTCATTACTCTTTATGAGATGGATGAGTGGAACTCAATTGGTGATTCTAATTCATTTTATTCGGAATTTTCTACCCAAAATTTTGAAAACTCACCCTTCTCTGACTCGTCTTCTTCTTCATCCCAAGACCCAGATAATCCTCTTTCTGAGCAAAATATCATACAGTGGTTCATGGATGATACTCTATCGAACCTACTAAACCTACGACGAGAAGCTATAGAAAATGAGGCTGCATCCTCTCAGCGTAGAAGAAGGCCAAGACAGGTCATTGAGAGAAATCGTGAAGAAGCAGATCAACGATTATATAATGACTACTTCTCTAATAGCCCAACGTACACCGACGATTTATTTTGGCAAAGGTTTCGAATGCGAAGAAACTTATTTCTTCGCATAGTTGAAGGTGTTACAAATTATGACCAATATTTTCAAAGCACTATAGATTCTACCGGTAGAAGGAGCTTTTCGCCGCTACAGAAGTGTACTGCAGCAATGCGTATGTTAGCATATGGGAGTTCTGCAGATGCTGTTGATGAGTATATACGAATGGGTGAGACGACTGCAATTATGTGTATGAAGAGATTTGTTCAAGCTATCAATGGTGTGTTTGGGGAAGAGTACCTGAGAAGGCCAACTGTTGTAGACGTACAAAGGCTAATGCAAATTGGAGAACAAAGGGGCTTCCCAGGTATGCTATGGAGTATCGATTGCATGCACTGGGAATGGAGAAATTGTCCAACCGCCTGGCATGGACAATATGTTAGAGGAGATCACGGCTATCCAACCATTATACTTGAAGTTGTTGCTTCTGCAGATCTGTGGATATGGCATGCTTTCTTTGGTCTCGCAGGTACATTAAATGATATCAATGTGTTGGACCGATCCCCAATCTTCCACGAGGTCTTGGAAGGTAAAGCACCTCAGGTAAATTACGTTGTTAATGGTAACCATTACAATTTGGGCTATTACTTGGCAGATGGAATATATCCAAGTTGGGCAACCTTTGTGAAGTCAATCCCCTTACCTCAAAGTGCAAAACATAAATTATTTGCAAAGAAACAAGAAGGTGCAAGAAAAGATATAGAAAGAGCCTTTGGGGTGCTCAAAGCACGATTTGCTATCATTTCTAACCCGGCACGAATGGGTTCCAAAGAAACACTTGGACAAATTATGAGAGCATGTATAATCATTCACAATATGATTGTAGAGGATGAGCGAGACTCATATGCTATTGATTTTAATTATACGAATGAAAGTGTGAATTGTAATGTATCTATACCTGAAAATAGTCCTGGCCACTTCATTAGAAATGAGGATTATATTCGAATTCATGCAAGGATTCGCAATAGGCCAACAAACCATCGACTACAAGAAGACTTGATCGAGGAGATATAGAATCGGTTTGGTGGAGATGAAATAAATGAATAAATGTATTTGCTTTCAGTGGAATCGGTTAGTTGTAGTTTCTTAACTTTTAATGATTTCAGTGTCTTCGGATTTGTAATTTGTTTAATTTTAGTTATTTCGATGTATTCAAATTTGTACTTGGCTTAATTGTAGTGATTTCAGTTAGTTCGAATTTGTAAGGTTCATTTGAGGTTTAGTTTTACAATTTAAATCGTAATTCAAATTAATAACACGAATTATTTTAGATTTAAACAAAATTTATAATATAACTTGCATTCGGTTATATATATAGTACGAATAAATTTTTAAATTATTTTTAAAAATTACGTTTTTAAATTTTCCGTATATCTATTTTTAATATTTCAAAGTAATTTATTTTAAAAAAATACTCCATATGTTTTTTGATTTGAGGTCATTTTTATTATTTTTAGTATTTAATGTAATTTATATATTGATATACATAAATTAATATATAAAGAAGAGAAAATAATATTTATTGAGAAAAAGATATTAATTTTTTTAAGTGATGTGATATTGGGGCCCACTTTAGAAAGTTGGTTGAAATTGTAGGGATATAGTGTGAATAGTAAATGATTTGTAAATTGGGTGATGTGGAAGTGTGACCAATTTTAGAAAGTGAGAGAAAGTGACTGGGATGGGGTTAGCCTTATCCCAAAAAGTGGATCAATTGCAAAGTGATGTGTAAAATGATGTGGAATTTTTATTTTTATTTTGCTTTAATTTTTAATCCTACATGGCTTGAAAGCTTGCAAGAATAACAAGCTTTCAAGCCTACAAAAGGCTGCCACGCATGGCAGCCTTTTGACTTCTCTTTCTACTTTTTGTTATTTTATTATTATATTTATAATATAATATGAAAGTGGGCTCATTTTAGAAAGTGAGAGAATATTGTATGGATGTAGAATAAATAGTAGATAATTTATAAATTTGATGATGTGTAAGTGAGACCCATTTTAAAAAGTGAGAGAAATTGCTGGGATAAGGATAGCCTTGCTCATTTGATCAATCATTATTGTATGGACCATGGTCCACACAAGTTGTGTAGATCATATTTGTCTATTGTAAAATAATGTACATTCAGTATAAAAATAATGTATATTCAGTACAAAAATAATGTACATTATATTCAGGGGATGTACATTATTTTTATTATGAGTGTACATTATATTGTATAATGTACATTCAGTACAAAAATAATGTACATTTAGTATATTAAAAATATACTTTTTGTTATGTTCTACGTAACATTGTGTGGACCATCCACACAATACTTTGCCCTCATTTGATTGCAAATTTGCAATCAACCCAATGAGCCCAGCATTAGATCCATTCAACATTTCAGCCTTATATTACCCACAGCCAAATCTTTCAATTTACATATTTGTTCGTAACACGTAACATTTTTGTGGCAGTATTTTACAAAAATCCTATAATTTTTGAGCGAAAAGAGAAATCCATAGTTATTATTTTTATATATGCATTAAATAAATCTCTTTTTTTTTTTTTTTTTTTTTTTTTTTTTTTTTTTTTTGTAACCGTCCGCAAACTACAAGAAGAGACAAAATGCACTTTAAAAACAGTTTTTTTTTTCTTTTTTTTTTTTTTTGCGTCCGCAAACTATAAGAAAAAATTTGTTGACCAATTTTATTGGCATCATCGGAATCTTTGTTTCTAACACTAATTTTATTGACAAATAAAGAGCGAATGGCTGACATGTACAATGGACATACTAAATAAAATTAAAAATTAAAAAAAATGTCACATAAATATCTAGGTAAGCAAAATGATATATCCGTGCTTAATATACAAGTAATTCGCTATTTAGTATAATTGCACAATTTTAGCCCGGTTTGGTAAAATAGTTAGCTTATCAATCAATTTTGATTTATTTGATTGCTATTAGCTGTTTGACTAGGTTAAAAAATCAATATAAGTGTTTGGTTAATAAGCTTTTTGTAATTTTATTCCAAAATATTAAAATTCAAAAAGCTGTTCAAAATAACTTTTTCAAATAATTTTAAGAAATTATACCAACAGCTAACAGCTAATTTACCAAACACTTTTCTACAATAAGCTAATATTATCAACTAGTTATACCCTCTAACCAATCGTTATACCCTGCACCACGGCGCGCGTAGCACTGTGCGCCCCGCGCCTCCCAAAACGACGTCGTTTTGGTAAGTTATGTAGGGAGTTGACGTGATTATGTGTATTTTTTTTATACAATTATGTATATTATATATACAATTATGTATATTTTTTATACAATTATGTACATTTTTTATACAATCATGTACATCTTTTTTTATACAATTATGTACATCCAAAATGTGTATTATGTTAAGAGTTGATGTTTATTATGTTAAAAGTTTATGTATATTATGTATTATGTTAGATTATATGTATTATCTTTTTTTAAAAAAATGTATGTGTATTTTGTTATACAATTATGTACATTCATGTATACAATTATGTGTATTCTAATATAAAATTATGTACATTTTTGAACATGAGATTTTTTTTTAAAAAGAAAATTAACCACCAACATAGGGTAGCGAAATTTCAAAAAAAAATAAAAATAAATCTGAAACGACATCATTTTGCATCAGGGCGCACAATGCAATGCGCGCCCTGATGCAGGATATAAATTGCCCTCTCTAACAGCTATCAGCTAACAGCTATTTACCAAACAGAGTCTTTATGTTGTTTAACAGTCAATTAGACTTCTTTAAATTCAGTGTTCCAAATGCATTTTTATATACCTACAGTTATTTACACCTTAAATTATTGTATGTTTGAAATACAAAACCATTAGTCATCATAAATTCGTAATACAAAATAATATTATTGATTTTAAATTAAAAAAATTACATGCTACTAACTTACTAATTAGTATTGTCAAAACATAGTTCAAATTATATATATGCAAAGAACATACACAAACAAAAACTACATTCCCATTATGAATGAAATTATAACATTTTTTAATATATAATTAAATATAGTGTTGTTTCTCCATCCCGAGATCTGTCTTATGCAAGCTATATATGAAGTATTATCAAGGGATGTCAGATATTAGCAAGAATGTAGACAGACTCCCCCATGGTGGCAGAATGCATGTACTTAATGGCTAATTTGAGAAAGGTTAAAGTTGTCCACACCTTCAGGGAAGGCAACCAATGTGCAGACAGACTCGCTAATATGGGACAAAACACTAGTCCAGGGACTTCTATACTTGAAGAACCGCCGGACTGCATCATGGATCTTCTTTTGGCCGATTCAGGAGGTGCTCGAACTCGTAGAATTAGATAATGGGGGCCTTGCCCCTCCAATGTATCCAAAAAAAAAAAAAGGGATGTCAGATATTAGCAAGACACTTTCAATTGATGTTCTTTCATTATATTTTTCGATCACCAAATTTGTTAGCCTACTCTCTTGCTAGGGTTGCAAGTTCACAAACCGGTTCATCGATCTGGATGTATTCAGTTTCTGTATGTCTTCAACATCTTAATTATTTAATGATATGACGTGGTTTAATTTACCTTCAAAATATATATTGCTGCTTCAATTATTTTAGTTCAAACATATTGTAACAAATTAAAACATATGAAATCAAAACTTTTATAAATTTAGTTAGAGAAAAATCCCATAAAATTCATATGTAAATCATTTTGCTCTCAAATTATATATACTCCAGTAATACAAACAACAAACATTATATTATAACCAAACTCAAGATAGACACCAGTTCAATATATTTTAAGATAACTTCTCTCAAAGATACAATAATCTTATTGAAACCCAAAATGCCAATGGTAAAAGATTATCTTTCAGTTTATTTTTTTTATTCAAAACTAAAAGGAAATGAAATAGAAGTCAAGAATAGAGATGCAAAGGAAGGCGTGGGGTGAGGAGAGCTTCTAATGGAGTTGCCTTAGTAACTGATAGGCCAGCAGCCTCAGTCATGTCAATTTTCTCATCTAAACTCCTCCTTATATCAAAGCCATGAATGACACTGGCCAAGCCTAGTTCCACACTTTGTAACCCTAAAGAAACTCCGGGACACATTCTTCTTCCACTACCAAATGGAAGCAGGTCAAAATGATTACCCTTAACCTCGACTTCTTTTTGCTCCGTCAAGAATCTATCAAGCTTAAATGCGTCAGGATCTGACCAGAATTTTGGATCGCGTTGGATCTTTGCCACATTTACAAGTAATCGTGTACCCTTCGAGACGTGGTAACCATCGACCACACAATCTTCTACAGCTTTGTGCGGCACTAAGAGAGGACCTGGTGGATATAATCGTAAAGTTTCTTTGACAACTGCTTGAATATAAGTCAAGTTGTTTAGGTCAGACTCATTGACATGTCTTTCTCTCCCGACATTGCTGTCTAGCTCATTTCGGATCTTGTCTAATACATCACCATTGTTCAATACTAAGGAGAGGGCCCATATTAAAGTTGTCGTAGTTGTATCGATGGCTGCTGACAGCACACCCTGTCATAAGAACAACATAAATGTGTAAGTATTTTCCCTAAATACAATATATTATAATATATTGTATTATTAGGTGGTTGTGGTGCAAGTAGGAGATTGAGTCAATTAATTAGTGACTTAATCTGTTATGCAACTCAGAATATTCAGTCTGCATATGTTGATGGCATGTAGGCTTCAAAGAAAAAGAGTCCTCCCACAGCTCCCGAGTTCAGGACACGCACCATCACGTATTCGGGAGAGAAGTGGTAGACAAAAACGTACACTAACCTTTATTCGACAGGTTTACCATCTCGTGGCAATACCAACGACTATGGCTAGGGATATTCGGGCGATTCTAAAGCTTTCGCTACTACAAGACAGGTTACTCGTTACTACAGTTCATGTTAGACTAAATTTATTATCTAACATTTGGTATCAGAGCCCTATCAAATCTTTGCCTGGTTGATTAATTAGTAACAAATATATATTTTGAAAAATATATTTGTTCTTGTTGGTTAGTCTGGAAATCAACATTCGGTAAACAGTATATATTGTTTTGGGAGATATGTACTGCTTGGTTTTGTTGTTTTTTGGTTTGTCAGCACCGTGGACTCGCGATGGTGGCGACTGGATCATGGGTGATGACTCCGACGATTGGAGGTTCGCCGGAACGGTGGGGCTATGGCTTTGGTTCTCCGCTGTGAGATTTGCCGCTGGGAGGACCCTGCTGTGAGCCATGACGGTCGCCGGTTTCCATGGTGAACAACGCCGAGGTTCGGTGGTGGTGTCCGCGTTTTTAGTTGCGGGCGACGGCGTTGCAGCGATGCGACAAGCGAGACCAGATGGGATTTCCGGCGAACCGTCGCTGCTTCCTCTCCTCCTTCGCGTTCTCCTCTCGTTAAGGCCGTCGACGATGATGGCTTTGCGATGAAGATGGAGGCAGTGGCTCCTCATGTGATGAAGACAACGGCCGGATGTTGCGCTGGTTTTCTGGCCATCTCTGTTTTCTCCCCTTCAGTGGCGCTGGTTCCGAACGCTGTTCCTCAAGCTTCGGGCGGCGTCTTCCGAGCGTGATCGACGGAACAGAGAGCTGCGGAGAAGATGGATGCACGACTGGTACGCCTCCTATTTACATGCAATTATCCTTTTATTTACCATATTTAATATTTGCCTTATATTTAATAATTACATATTAATTTTGGTAAATGGTAACTACATTAGGATTTAATATTGCCATATTAATATTTACCTTAATTAATATTGTAAATTATTTTTGGCAAATAGTAAATTACAAGGTAATTGCTTGTTTTGAAATAATAATGTCCTTTAGTTATTCCTTAATTTTGGCATTAAAAATTTCAAATTGAGTTCAGATTAATTGTGACATTATTTGTGATTGAATTATTGTCATTATAGTAATTCTTGTCACAATTAAATTATTATTCATTTTGAGCAAAATATTAAGTTTTGATTTGCTATTTGAATTCTAATTTAATATTGAGAGTTGTATTAATGCCTTTTAGTTTTCTCTCAATTTTGGTATTATATTCACAATTAAATTATTATTCAATTTTGAGCAAATATTAAGTACTAAATTTGCTACTTGAATTTTAATTTAATATTAAGGTGCATGTTAAATTGCCTGAATTATTGCAATTTATTTAGGATTTAAGAGTTTTTTTTTTTTTTTTTGAAACAAACGCAAGAACTTTCATTAACAGCTCAGAAAATTGACAATACAGAGCGGCGGGGTAGACACCCACACACCCGAGACAGAATCTGAAACGGTTGCCCGAGCAAGCTCGTGAGCGACACGGTTCGCTGTCCTTTTGATGTGGGCCACAGAGACGGTCCCAACATCATTAGCAATCGATAAGCATTGCTTTACATAAAGACCTACATACGAAAAATCAACACAACGGGAATGAAAAGCATTACAAAAATTAAGGCAATCAGATTCAAGAAAATAAACTCTACGATCATAGTCCTTCAGCCAAGTCAGTGCTTCCTTGGCCGCTAAAACCTCTGCCAGAAACGGATCCGTTACACCATCAAACCAACCACTCTTCGCTGCTACGAAGCGACCATCATGGTCACGCATGACCGCACCGTAGCTCGCCCCGCCCGAAAAAACAGCCGCGTCAACGTTACATTTGATTGCATGCAAAGGTGGAGGAGTCCACGCTGTCGTGTGCTCTAGCCCGCCTGCAGAGCAGCGTGATGCTGGAGAATACGTGGCTTCCCAAGTTTGGCAATGAGTGTTCACCTGTCGACTCAGCATCTCCTTCGTTGGCGAACGGTTGTGCCACACTGCATCATTTCGAGCCAACCACACAGTCCAGAAAATGGCCGCAAGCTTTATTGCCGAGTTCGAGGATTGATTGCCAATAACAGTGTTCATGAAAGCAGCCAATTGTTGTCCCTGCATCACGTTATCGTCCGCCCACAAATGCCGCGCAAACACGCAGTCGCCCAGTAGGTGTTCTGCTGTCTCTGTCGGAAAACCACACAACGGACAGCCCCCCCCCCCCCCCAATCCACACTCGCTTCAGCCGCAGATTATCTCGCACCGGAAGAACACCCTTTGCACATCGCCATAACAGGTTCTTTACTTTTGGTGGTATTGACAGGGACCATAGCTGTTTCCACGCCTGGAAGGTCTCATTGTCCACTTGGCGGCTACCGCCGCCCATGAGTAGATGGTAACCGTGCCTCGCAGTATACTGTCCTCGTACATCACCGACCCATCTCCAGGAGTCCTTATATAAAGGGCAAACTGGTGTTGCAATGATTCGCGTCACATCCTCCACATGGAAAATGTCTCGGAGAATCTGCACGTCCCAATTCCCCCGGGCGTCCAGTAAACCATGAACCTTGGCGTCAAGCAAGGGGTGGTCAAAGGCCCTTTTGCAGCATCAGCTAACCAGTTCCAACCCCAAATGTCCGTATCCAGGCCATCTCCAATACGCCGTGCTAGACCCAACTGTAACACCTTCTGCCCCGCCATAATGCTACGCCAGATGTAGCTCGGGTTCCCCCCGACTTGGGCGTCCATGAAATCTGATTTTGGGTAGTATTTTGCTTTGAGCAACCTACCAACCAAAGAATCAGGATAGATTAATAGCCGCCAGCCTTGCTTAGCTAGTAGCGCCAAATTGAATTCATGTAGTCGTTTGAAGCCGAGACCACCATCCGCTTTTGGCTTACACATACGAGCCCAGCTCAACCAGTGTATTCCCCGAGATCCCGTACCACCGCCCCCCCACCAGAATCTGTTAAAAGCCTTCTCCAGAGTGTCACAAACACGCACAGGCAGCAAATAAATCGACATTGTAAAAATAGGGAGCGCTTGTGCTATGCTCTTCAGAAGTATTTCTTTTCCTGCACGGGACAAGAATTTGTGTGTCCACAGACCAATACGTGTCCGGATATTATCCTCAATGTAGCGAAAACAAGCAGTCTTGTTGCGTCCCAGAACAGAGGGGAGGCCCAAATAGCGACCTAGATCCGTAGCGGTCCGAACTCCCACACAATCCGTGACCATCTTTCGGCTATCTGCACTGGTGTTGGCACTAAAGACCGCACTGGACTTATCATAATTAATGAGCTGTCCCGAGGCCAAGCTATAAAAGTCTAGACATGACTTGACTTTTGCAGCTTCGTGATGGGTTGCCCTGAAAAATAACAAACTGTCGTCAGCGAAAAAAAGATGAGTGATAGCCGGGGCACCCCGGGCTACCCTCACTCCGTGTATATCACCCCGGGCCTTTGCCTGTTGTAATAAAATTGAAAGCCCTTCCGCACATAGGATGAAAAGATAAGGGGACAACGGGTCGCCCTGTCTTATGCCACGAGTGGGACAGACATGCCCCACTGATGTCCCATTCACCAGGACAACATAATTCACCGTTGAGACACAAACCATCAATAGATCCACCCACTCCCCGGCAAAACCCAAAGCCCGTAGCATTCCCTCCAAAAACGGCCATTCCATGCGGTCGTACGCTTTGGCCATGTCTAATTTTAGCGCCGCCCAACCCATAGCCCCACTGGTCTTTCTCCGAAGAAAATGGCCAATTTCACCGGCCACAATTATGTTATCAGTTAGCAGCCTTGCGGGTACAAAAGCACTCTGCGACTGAGACACGACATGTTCCAACACCCCTTTTAGCCTGTTAGCTAGCATTTTAGCAAGCACTTTGTACACCACATTGCACAGAGCAATAGGGCGTAAATCCGAAACTTTTTCCGGGGTCTTTTTCTTCGGAATTAAAACGATATTTGACTCGTTTAACCCCGCGGGGAAGACTCGCGTTTCCGCGCACCGGATGATGAACATTGCCATTTCATGACCCAGCACCGGCCAGAAATGCTGAAAGAAAGCCGGGGACAAGCCATCTGGCCCCGGCGCTTTCTCAGGAGCCATATCAAAAAGGGCAGTCTTGACATCTTTAACCGTGTACGGCTGTAACAACGTGCTATTCATCGCAGATGTTACGCGTTGCCGGACATGACTAAAGAGTTCAGGATTGCTCGGCCCAGAACAGAAAATGTGATCAAAGTACCTGATAATTTCCGTGTTCATGTCCATCCCATCCACCCATGTTCCATGCTGGTCCTTGACTCGGGTGAGCGTGTTTCGTCTACGCCGATAGGTAGCGGCGTTATGGAAATATTTAGTGTTGGCATCCCCGTGTTTTAGCCATAACTGTTTTGATCTTTGCTTCCAGAAAATTTCCTCTTCCCGCATAAATTTATGCAAATCCCTTTCAGCTTCCTGAAAACCCTCCACCCCAGCAGGTGATCGGTCTTCCTTCAAGCGCTCCAGTACCTGGCGGAGCGATTTCAATTTATTGCCAAACTGCCGGAAATGTTCACCTCCCCAACGGCCAAGGTGAGCGCTACAAACAGCAAGTCGCTCCTGGAAGTTCTGGCCCATCGACAAACGCCAAGCGTCTTTGACAACCTTCGCACAACCCTCCTCCAAAATCCAAGCGGACTCGAATATGAAAGTGCGTGCA